TCACACAGGGTCTTACTAAGTAGCCCAGGCTGGCCTTGAACTTTTGCTCCTCCTGCTTCAGCCTCCTGAGTTTACAATTGTGTGCCACCGTACCTGGCTCAAATTCATAGATAATGGTTTTTTAATTCATTTCTTTGTATAGTTTTTTAGTAGCTGCTTTTAAATAAGCTGTCTTATTTTGCTCCCTCTTTACTTATTTTTAGCACAGGGTCTTACTAAGTAGCCCAGGCTGGCCTTGAACTTTTGCTCCTCCTGCTTCAGCCTCCTGAGTTTACAATTGTGTGCCACCGTACCTGGCTCAAATTCATAGATAATGGTTTTTTAATTCATTTCTTTGTATAGTTTTTTAGTAGCTGCTTTTAAATAAGCTGTCTTATTTTGCTCCCTCTTTACTTATTTTTAGTTGTGGTTGTTCTATGGGTTATTTTACAACTTTAAAAATTTTGCTGTGGTTGGAATGAATGAAATTTTAAAATCAAATCTGTCATTAGGAATTGTATGTATATATTTGCAGGGTGGTAATAGAGTAACAGTTTTGACCCACACATTCCATTTTCACTTCGGCTTTGTGCTGTTATCTAGCTATATGCTTTGCATTGGGTAGAAACTCTTAGAATTAGTATACTTTGCTACTCCTTTCTCTTTACTAGCTTTTTTCCCTAAAAATTCTTTAGTTTGAAATAATTATAAAAAATCTATTCTAGATTACATTAGCTTATAAAAAACAGAATTCACATGAGTTTAATACCCAAGCATATCTGTTTCATCCAGTAGTGGAGTTCAGATAAATAAGTCCCAAAGGTAATATTTATTGAGGACTTTTAAATTTTGAATTCTTTACATTTCATTTGATAAGGACCTCTGAAAATTTATTAGTTTTCATTGTTTGTTTGTTCATTTGTACCGGAGTTCGAACTCAGGACCTTGTGCTTGCAAGTCAGGCGCAGTGCCACTGAGCTAAATCCCCAGTCCATGTCACTTTATTTAAACGTAAATATTTCTATAAAATTTCTTTGGCATTTGATATTAAGAGAATGCTATTGTTAATGACTTAGGGCAATGCTCTGAAGTAGTGTTGTCTTATCTCTCCAACTTGTTAATGTATATAACTTTTTCCTTTTTTTATCATTTCTGTTTATTTTTGCTATCCTGTGGTACTGGGGATTGAACCTGGGGTCTTTGTACTGAGCTATATCCCTAACCTATTTTTTATTTTGAGACAGCGTCTTGCTAAGTTACGAGTTACAGGCTGTGCTTGAACTTGCAATCCTCTCTTATCTCAGCCTTCCAGAGTGCTGGGATCACAGGCATGCGTCACTCTGCCTGGTTTCCTTTTTAAGATTTCTTACCTAATACCATTTCAGACTTAATAGATTAAATCATTATATTTTTTATTTTACAGATAAATTCATCAGGGCAGCATTTTTACTTTCATTCTATTTTAAATGGCCCATATGAAATTACTGTTTTTAGAATCAAAATTATTTGTATATTAGCAATTTTATGTACTTTATCTTACATATAATAGCCTCCCTATATACCAATAAATAAGCCAACAGAAGCATCAAGGCACTTGGAGGATGGGACAGTATCTTCAGAGAAAAGAACATTAGAGTTGATATTTGGAGATGTCAGGTGACATTAGAAAGTCAAAAGTGTTACAGAAATTATTGTTTATCTCAGTTATGTATCATTTACAAGTAATGCTGGCTGTCATTTGATGTTGACTTTTTTTTTTTTCCTTTCTGGTACTGGGGATTGAACATGGGACCTTGCGCTTACAAGGCAGGCAACAGCACCACTGAGCTAAACTTCTGACCCAATGATGACATTGTTGATGCTTAGTTTCATCCTTCTTCTAGTTATATTTTTAAAAAGCAGTACTTCAAGCATACTAGAGATACCGCAGAATAAAACATTTGTTTACATAGAGATTTTAAGACTGGAACATTTCAAAGTAATTACATGAAAATGTTTAAGAAATGACTAAGGGAATACTTTACTGACCTAGTGGTCAGCGTCACTGGAATTGTCAATGTTCATGAACCAAGTTTTTGGTGATGGTAGAAATAACTGTGATGTTTAAAAATGATCAAAATGGGTAGAGAGCAATTTAGGTGCTTTGTATGTGGTAGACTGAGTGATTTTGTGTTAGGGGGGAAGACTAATTGTTGGCAATGGCAGTGGAATTAAGTACAAGTTGTGAATTCCTGCCCAACCCTGTGCACTAGGGCATTTGAAATTTTCTCAGTTGATCATCCTTCTTTTGAGAGTTCCAAGACAGGCGGTACCTTTTCAGGAAGAGTAGTATTTGTGTAAAGGTAGAAATATTATATAACACATTTTTTGGTGTATGAAAGTTTATTAAAGTAGAAAGTCTTTAAGTTGAAAGTTTTTGGCACCAATGATTACTGTGTTAACCCCTGATTTCTCTGATGATATACTGACATTTTACCTTTCTTGTCCTTCTGGTTAATACTGCTTTTTCCTTTGTCCATTTCTTCAACATGTTATTTTCCTACCATCTTGTCTTTGTTTTTTGTCTTTTCCAACTACACAACGGTAATTTCATGGACAATCTCATTAATTGCCATTGCTTCACATTTATTATTTCCCTTTCTTATACCTTTTGAACTGTTACATATATTAATTTTTACTCAGGTTACTCTGTCTTTCCCCATTGTTTTCCACCTGGAAAAGTTCTGTTAATTAAGACTCACTCTTTGATTTCATTTCAGATCTAATTTTAGTTATCCAGTTGTTCATATCCCCAGCCCCCAATGTACTATTTTTTTCAGTGTTTAGAAAAATGCCTAGGGTTGGAAAATATTTGAATTAATAAATTATCAGCTAGATGATCAACTGTGCCTGTATTGGTACAGAAGAGAAGGTACTAAAGCTAATAAACCTAAACACGCACATACACACATACACACATACCCCAGTCATCAAAGAAATGAACCATAAGGTACTGTTTTCAAGATACAGTACAACTTTAGTAGTTTTTAAAAGCATGAGTTCTGGAACATGAAGGTTACCTTGATTTGAGTTGCAATTCTGAGCCGGGCATGGTGGCACATACTTATATTCCCAGCTCTTTGGGAGAGCTAGGAAAGAGGATTGCAAGTTTGAATCCAGCCTAGACAATCTAGTAAGATCTTGTCTCAAAATAAAAACCAAGTTGTGGGGATGGGCACTGTGAATATAGTTGAGTGTGAAGGCCCTAGGTTTTCAATCCCCAGTGGGGATATGAAGGGAATAATTCTGGTTCTGCCACTTACTTGGGGTATGATCATGGTCAAACTTAATTAACCTTTTGGTGCTTCATCTTCGTGTTTCACATCTGACAATCAATATTATGTAATTACTCATTATTTTGTATTTTGAAAATTATTCCATTATTTTACATTTTAAACTTTGGTTCAGTATTTCTAGTTAGGGTAAGACAGCTGATGATACATGCTAGTGATGGAAATTTAAGTAGGTATAGTGTTTCTGAACAGCTGTATTGTGTTATGTACTGAAGATTTTCTAAATTTATTTTGGTTTAATAATTTCATGTTATACTCTTAAAATCTGAAATATTTTCTAAAATAAAAGGAGATAAAATCTGAAAGAACCCATTATATTCCAAAATTATTATTATTGTTTGTGGTACTAGGGATTGAACCCAGGGCCTTTGCATTGAGTTATTATATTCCCTACCCCTTTTTAAAAAAAAATTTTGAGATAGTATCTCACTAAGTTACTGAATTGATTCAGTGAATTCAGGCTGGGTTTGAACTTGTGATCCTCCTGCCTCAGCCTCTGAGAATTAAGATTACAGGTATGTGCTACTATTCCTAACTTCCAAAATTATTTATCCTATAGTTCATAAACAACTTAAATGTCTAGTAAAAGAAGAATACTTAAATATATTGTTAAATGTTATTCAGCAGTTAAAGTGTTTGCATTTTAATAGCATGGAAAATGGTTATGATGCAACAGACAAAATATAAAAGATTAATATCTTAAATATGTTTTAAAAATCCATAACATGTTAAGATGCTACTTTATCATTGCTTTTAGGTGGTAGGATTTAACCTGTTTCAGGCTTTTACTTTTAAGGTGGGGTGATTAGTGAGGCGACATGCTGAATTTGTTTTTGTATTTTTAACAAATAAGGTAATATGAAAGTTCTTTGAATATCTTGTATTTCTTTCAGTCACTTATTGTCATTGCTCATCTTTCATATTTTTATTGTAAAGTCAATCTCTGTTGTATTAAAGAAGTACAACATTGTGCTTCCTTAAAGACTCAGTCTCTACATTTGAACTTAACAGCTTGCAGCTGTTTGTTTTTTAAATGGTGATTTTTCATAGTCCTAATTTACCATTAGTGTTAAGTTTTCTAGAAATCATTTATGAAATATAATTTATGAACAGGATGATACTGATGTGGTTTGATTTAAGCTTTTTATTTTTCCCTCTGCCTCTCTCTCTCTCTCTCTCTCTCTCTCTCTCTGTCTCTCTCTCTGTCTCTCTCTCTCTGTCTCTCTCTCATCTACAGCAACTGGAACAGATCCAGAAGGAACTAAGTGTTTTGGAAGAGGATATTAAAAGAGTGGAAGTAAGAAATCAACACTTTCTCACATCTCTAGCAGTTTTTCAATTTCATGAAATTGCAACCTTTTCTTAAAGTTGCTTTAAATTTATTAGATTGGTCTTGGTTATGAAGAAAAGAAACAGATGTTACTTTAGTTTTGATTGAGAGTACGTTTTTATGGGAAAAGATATTATGAACATTTTCTTGATATGCAAACAAAGCACTTAATTTTCTTAATATTTTATCGTGTTAGTAAATCAATTGGGAATTTATAATAAAATATAGTTTAGTTATGGACTCCACTGGAGGATTATTGGGAGCTTGTTGGCTATTGGGATATAAATTTACATATTGCCTTTGGCAATATTTAAATTCAATGTGTGGTTTTTATTATTTACATGTTAGATTTTCTTTTTCTGACATACAGAATATGTTCAAGGATAACAGATATAATATTTTGTGGAATTTGAATGTCCCATGTAGCATTTCCAACTTGTTATATTTATGTTACTTACTTGATTATAGATTGAGCTGAGCCTGAATTATCCAGCAATATTCTACCTGTTAATGTGGTGTAAGAAGCATTTTCAAATTTCAAATTATCAAAAAATAATATGAAAAAAAGCTATTTGTTATTATAATTTAGAACTATAATTTATGTGATAATTGTTTGAGGCCTTTCCCTTAGGTTTAATAATGAAAAATTAGTTTGTCATTATTGAAGAAAGCTTAATTTTGAATTAATAAGCATATTATTTTCTTCCTGTGTACAATTTTTTAAAGTAGAAAATGACTTTATGCTCCAGTTATCATCTCACCTTCATATTTATTTGATTTATTATATATCAGTAGGTTATATGAATGATTTGCTAATTGATTATTCACATGGTATATTGTTAAGTCTTCTTTAAAATACTTGTCTTTGTCTTTTTCCATATTTGCTGGCATCATTAGTGATGAACAGTATTAGATATAGTTCCCTAACAATAGGTGATAAAGCAAAGTCTTACTCTTCAATTTTCAGATTATCTTTGCTTTTGTACTCTTTGGAGAGGAATCCCTGAGAAATTTGGCTGTTGACATCAAAAGGGACTGATGAAAATCCATGACTGTAAAGGAATAAAATGTTTGTCTTTTTGATTTATTCATCTTTTGTTTAGATATTTACTGTAATTCAAATAATTGCATTTTTAGGAAATGAGCGGCTTGTACTCTCCTGTGAGTGAAGACAGCACAGTGCCTCAGTTTGAAGCTCCTTCTCCATCACACAGGTACAAAGCTTTACTCTAGGAATTACTTAGGATTTGTGTTACAAAGTATGTGTAGGGTAATAGTCCTTGTGAGCCTTTGCAATGCAATGCAATTCATGAAACCCCTGAGAAATTACTTCTGGTGATAATCTAGAAATGAGATTCAGGTGGCCCATCTGTTTTGTTAATGCTTTTGGTTAAGGAATAGTGAGTTGTATGTGCTGTATATTATATTTTGAATTCACAGTTGGATTAAAGTAAAGAGTTGGTGAATTTCTTGAAATAATAATAGTTTTACATATCTTTGAATTGAAGCCAGGTCACATTCAAAATTAAACTTAGGAACATGAAATCGTAAGGTTGAGGGGAAAAAATTATAAAAAAATCTTGGATATTTTCTCTAACTCATTCAATTTTCCTGATGCACTATTCCCAGATTTAAAATGATGGCAGTAATATCTACTTGTTAATTTAGCTCGACCTGGTATTTTCTTATAATAGATTTATTTAATTCTTGATTCTGTTTGCCTTATTAGAGCAGGGGTTATAGTTGTTTTGCTCATGACTCCCTTTCCCCAAATCATGGTAAGCTTCATTTAAATATTTGTAAAATATATTGAATGAATATACCTTCTGGCTGTAAAATTTCATGAAATATGTGCTATATTTTAAATTTTAAAATAGATACTGAAATGTGTACTATACATTTTAAATTTTTGTGCCCGACATATTCAGAGCAAGAACAATTTTACATACTCATTTGTTATTTTCTAATCCATTTAGGATAATGGTATAGTGGAAACTTTCAGACAGGTAGTTTAGGATAACATGTGGAATATCAGGAAATCCACTACTAGTACATTACAGTAGTCTTCAGAATTTTAATCATTTCAGGAAAGGTATTAACGGTCAGTTTGGTATGGTATATGGGGAAAAGAATGGAGGGGATGTTTTAGTTAAGGTGTATTAGTAAAAGTTTTGATATTTTCCTGCATTAACCATAGTATGAAAAATTCTTGTGAATTTGTGTTGATTCTGTGGTCATCCTAACCTGTTTAATTCAGCTGATTTTCCACCCAACTTTATTTCTTTAAAACATTTCAAATGACTGTATCTGTGGAATATTGATACCTTTACCTAGAGCTCATTTTCTGATATATGAGGTCTTTGACAATAAAGTTTTTGTTGTATAAGTGCACACAGTAAAGCAAAATTTTCGTATCATAAGTTACACTTAATAAACCGGTGATGTTTCCTTTGCCATGTTCCTCTCTGATTATTAGTAGCGTATTTTTTATCACTTCCAAGCTTTTGTTGCTAATGTGGGATTTTATGAATGTGTGCATTCACTTCATGTACTTAATGAATATAATGCATTCACTTAATTTCTCTACTGAATGTTATCTAATATACTGGAGACTGTTCTGGGTGTTGAATCTGTCTGCCAAAACTACCCTTATGGAATTTACCATAATTAGGATGTGTTTGTAGAGGTTGGGGGAGATATCAAATAAGCAAATACATAACATTAATACATGAGTTTGCTATAGGATTCCATTTAATTTGGCTCATTGGACTTCTCTTAGGGGGTGACATTTAAGCCAACACTTGAAAAAAAGTAAAAAAGTAAATATAAATAAATATGATGAAATGTTATTGGATAGTGTTGTACAGAATCTGATTTCTATTTTAAAATCTTTATGTCAATTTCTACGTGGAAGATAGAGAAACATACTGTCTTGTCCTCCCCAACCATATGTCATTGGAAGCATTTTAGCAGTCTAGCAGCAAGGAGATTGTAGTTTGGATTAGGATTTTATCTGTAAGACTATGAAAGTCTATGAAAATGTTGGAGAATTGCTAAAATTGCTTGCAAAGTAATTGTCAGATGAGATTCTGGCAGTTATGCTTACTAACAATTGAAGAGGAAATAGGCAAGAAGTATTTTCTTTAAAAGAATGTTTTGGTACTTTTAAGCAAATGATTTCAAATAGTTTGGGATTGAGAGAGGCCTTTGGGAAAATTGATGTAGACCTTAAATACTCTTGAAAATGGCCCTTAAAATTTAGATACAAAATAGTTGCTGTGAAGAATGTTACACTAAATATTTGTTTTTTCTTTATTTTTAAGAAATAACATGTAGTTGCTATAATAACCTCTTTCATAATTTTTAGCTTCATTGTTTAAATGTTGGATAGCTTTGGTGTTCAGTCCTCAATCTTTAAGATTTGACCTCTTTAAGGAGGCCTACTTTAAAAAGTGTTTTTTGGGATTCATTTATTTTTCTATAAGGAGGGCCTTCTTTATGTATCAGGCCATTGAATTCCTTAGGTAGATGGCTGGGTGTATATTTATTAAACTGGGCATTTACATGAAATGAAAAAATCCAAATGATGGGAATCCCCCTCACCCATTTTATATTTGTCCTAAGTAAATTCCCATAATTGTCACATCCTGTCTTTACTCTTCCTGCTGCCTTCTTTAGATCTAAGCATCAGGTGGAGTCTAGCAGTGGTTTTCTCACCTATTCTCTTAGGCATTTATTGCCAGAAACACATGCTTTCGTTCCTGCTTAAAATCATTGGTAACAACAAATTTTATGTTGTTTCTTTTGCCTAGAATCCTCCCCTGGATTCAGTTAAGTAGTTTTCTCCTCTCCCTATTTATTCTCTTCTCTCTGTCTCCCAGAATCTAGCTGAGGACACCCTCTGTATTATTTTTATAGGCCCTTTCTGTAAAAAGTGAATGAAAGGGGAGGAGAAGCAGGAGTTACGGTTAATCACTTTTTTAAAAAAGGACCAATTTATTTTGTTCCTACTTTTATAATGTGATAGTTTATGTGAATTTCCCATTTTTAAGGTAATCTTATGAATATGAATTTTTTCTTTGAACTTATTTTTATAAGAACATTTATAATTAGTATGGGCTTAAAGTATATTTTTGAGTAAATACTTAAAATAGAATGGCACTCAGTTTTCATAGTTTGTGATGTTTAATTGAAGCATGAAATTAAAACAAACTATTTTTATCTTGTTTGAAAATTGTCGACTAGGCTTTATTGGTTTGGGAGTGGTGTGAGTATATGATTCTCTTGATAAATTTAGTAGAATCATTTTTAACCTTTTAAATCTTTCCCTGTGACAACTTTCTTATATGAGAATCAGTTCAAACCACATTGCTTCTCTCGCAGACTTACTGATCTTGCTTTAGATTCTAAGGAAGAAAGTTTCCACAATTTGCAGTATAAACTATAGTTTACATTGCATAGTGTGCATGTATGAATGTATGTGTATGAGAGATATAATGAGTAAACTAGTGTTGGACAAGCTTAATCTGTTTGTTGCCAAGTGGAATTGATTCTTTTATCTGAAAGGGTCATTATGAATATACATTAGAAAATCCATTCTTTTATTTTTTTTTTTAGTACTGGGGATTGAACTTGGGTCCTTGTGCTTACAAGGCAGGCCACCGAACTTGGGTCCTTGTGCTTACAAGGCAGGCCACCGAACCGCTGAGCTAAATCCCCAGCCCAAAAAATCCATTCTTTTAGAGGATTATTAATAGTCTATACATCTTTAAATTTTTAGTTCAAACTTTAAATGAGAAAGTGAAACCTTTTGTCATTCTTTTCTGAAAGTATAATGATAATGCAAATTTTGTTTAGATTGAAACATTTTTAGAGTGTTATTGTCTGAATTTTTGATAGAGGTCAACTTTATTCTACAAGGGCTAATAGATATAGATTTGGGGTTCTTTAAATTTTACTTAGTTTAAATGTGTAAGTGAAATAGTTATTCTGAAACTTGTGAAGCCAGAAGCTTAGTACAAACTTAGTCTTGTTTAATGACTAGCTGTAAATAAAGTGAGATGAAGAACATTGACATATTTTCCTATAGATTTTAAATTCTCTTCAAACTCATTATTAGCATTTTGCCTATAAATTTCTGAGTGTTTTACATTAATATTACTTCTGTCATGTTAAAAACATTTGAAATAATTGTTTCATATTCCTTTTTTTCTTTTAGCAAGTATTTTAGAATTATCAATTATCAATCTCATATTTTTGTTTTCAGAACTTCAAAGAACTTGGTTTAAAGAAAATTAGTCGAAGCTTCTGTGCTTCAGCTGGATTCACTATAATATAATCCAGTTACTAGTTTTAAACTTTCTCTTCCTAAAAATAAAATAGTAAATACAGTATAATACAGTACTATTTTCTGATTTATAGTCTCTTTAAAATACTTTCAATGATTAGAAATTTGCTATTGATGATAAATCTAACTCTTTAAGAGAATCATATACCAGTTTAAATTCTGAGTTGTCCTTAGAGTTTTTTGTGATAAGGAAGAGGGAAATTTATAAATGAAATACAGGTAAAACTTTTGATTTTAGATCTTCTTCACTTTTTTTTTTTTTTTTTTTTTTTTTTTTTGGTATGGGGAATCAGACTCTGGATCTTGTGCTTGTGAGGCAGGTGGCAGAACCACTGAGCTAAATCCCCAGCCCCTCTTCTTCACTTTTTTCATGTTAAATCTTTGACTTGAAAAAGTAAATAATGTGGTGTTAATGACTCCTTTTTCACATTTTATTTCATAGGTATTTAGTACTTTTAGGCAATTACTGGAAAGGTATTAGGCTTATATAGGGGCTAACATATTTATGACTTAGCTGCCCAAGGATGTTTTGGATATAGATGTGTAAAATTACTGGACTTTGCCCCATTTGGGGGTTGTAAGACATATTTTTTAGTCCATTTGCCTCACTTATTCGGAAGCTGCTGGTATTTGTTAAAATACGCCTGTTGTTAAAGAAGCCTATTTTCCTGTTGATTTAGAGCAAGCCTGACTCACCTGTCTTGAGGATGTAGGAAAATCAATCATATTTGACTGTATTTTATGATGTTTGCCTATGATGTTGTAGTAATAGCAAAACCACTTGATTGTTCTATTGTTCTATTAAAGGTCACGAGCTTTATGCTGACCCTCTCCTTGTGAAATTGTTAAACTTGCCATAGGTATTGAAAGATACTGAATTTTTAGATTTTCATTTACTTATTCTTTACCTTTTTTTTCATTAATAGCTCAATTCTATTTTTTCCATTATCCAAGAGCTTGAACAGTTTGTCATATGCTGATCAATCATTTGCATTTCTTTTTAAATGTGTATTACTTGTGAATATGACAGAACCTGAAACCCTAAGCTGGTGAATTGATTGTTATTTTTTAAATGCAGTACAGTATAAGTAGACTTTTTTGATTCCAAGAATTTAAATCCATCAGGATGCAGTTTAAATCTAAAACTTTATTGAGTTTGATTTGTAGACATCTTCGGATTCTTGTTATACACTGTAATTATCACTGCTTCATGAAAATATTAACAATCCATTTAAATTTTGAGATCTGAAGTCTTATAGAGGACAAATTTGAGTTCAGGCCAGAAATAGAGATTTGAAATCTCTATTTAGGACAAGCGTGACTTACCCATCTTGAAATAGACTTGTTTGAAATAGAGATTTTGTAACTGTGTTACCAAATATGAGTCAGTAGTTCTGAAATAGATACTAGAGATAAAGGTGCAGGTACATATGGAAATGTTGCTTAGGAAAGTATGGAAGCGGGTTTATTTGATTTTTGTGTCTGTATTGCTGATGCTGACATGTTTTAAAATCTTAATTCAGATAGGACTATTTTTCTCTTTATAAAAGAAAGTACAAATACTCTACTATACACTTATATAACTATCTTTAGCATATTTCATCATTTGGGAAAGATGGGGGAACGAATTTTTTTTTTTTTTTTTTTTTTTTTTTTTTTTTTTTTTTTTTTTTTTTTTTTTTTTTTTTTTTTTTTTTTTGTAAAGTTGCACATTTTTCTGTAATGTTTTGAAAATATTTTAACTCAAGTCCTGGGCTTGGGAGAGGCAGAAAAGTTAAAATTAAGTCTCCTTAAACAAAACAAATTATTGGTATTTATCATTTGTCTCCTGTGGGTTCTGTTTACTGACTGTGATCACATCCTGTTGCTTATAGCTATTAGAGTCATACAGGTAATTCATCCCTTTGATTATTGGCTTAGTCACTTTCGTTGTTGCTGGGACAAAATATACCTGCAGCTAAAGAAAGAGATTTATTTTGGCTTGTATTTCAGTCCATGGACAGCTTGCTGGCTCCAGTTCAAGATGGCGTGGTAGAAGAGCATGGTAGGGGAAATAGATTGGGGCATGGCAGCCAGGAGGTAGAGCATGAGAGGAAGAGTGGTAAAGGAGACGCACCCTCCTGCGTCATGTGCCCAGGGACCCACCTCTTCCACCAGGCCCCACTGTGATAATGAAACTTCAAGTTATGCTACCACTTTTCATTTCTTTAGTTTGTCTCTTTCCTACCCAGGTCCTATCATATTTTCTCTCTTCTGATGTCACAACCTTTGAATCTTTTCTTACTGTTTTGGAATACTTCCTCTAAGTTTATTTTTAAATTTTGTTCTGTAGTTATTTCCAGATAGTTTTAAAAACTCAAGAGCATGTAGCACCTGTATCATCGGATAATTAAACATTTTTCCTCCATGAAGTAAATGAATTGGGAAGAGGTAGTAGAATATAAAGTCAAATATAACACTTTGTATAAAAACCTGAGACTTCACGAGTTTTGTTGGAGGCAAATCAGTATTTTTCAGTCTTATTCCTTTGAGCTTATTTTTTTGTTTTGTCATGTGTGTACTTGGCAATTTTTAGCCTATTTGGTTCTTTCATTTTTTCAAAATATCCTATAATTATTGACTTTTATGTTCAGCCTTAAATTATCTCGTGTCTTTGTTTATAGATTTAAAAATTACCTTTATTACTAATTGACTAATGTGTATATTAATAATTTAAATTGTAAATCACTTTTTCAAATAATAACTCAGTCTAAAATTAGTGTAAGCATATTATTTTCACCAGGAATTAGCCAGTGATTTATCTTAGGTTTATCCATTGTTTAGAAGAGTATTGTATATGTGAAATGGACTTTAGCCATCTATCTTCAATTATAAAGTACTTGTTTGCTTTTGGAAGCAAATAATTGAAGTGAGAGTAGTTATGTGACATATTGATACTACCTGAGTTTTTTTTAACCCCAGATTAGCAGCTGCATTGATTTTGTTTACATTTTTAGATAAACTTCTCATTGTTACCAGCCAGAACATTAGGAATTATATTATTTTCCTCATCTTAATAAATGTGTATTATTCCTAATTCGGTTTTAGTTGCTACTCTGTAAATTTATTTTCCCTTACCACTTTTGATGTCCTTATTAAATTTTTATAATTTTATTGATGTTTACTAGAAACTGACACTTTCATATTTGTAGTTTATTGTTTCTAATTTTGTTTCCCTAAGATATGTCTATAAACTGAGTAAGTTAATGAAGAATTTTTCAAATCTTCATTTAGAGAACATAAAATGGGAATATAACATAATGGCTCAAAGCTTTTCATCCCTAATAAAAATCCCATTTAAGACCTATAATTTCAGTATCTTAAGCTAGTTGGTATTAATATATATTTTAAATGTAATACTATTTTTCTGTACATACAAAGATGATATCGGTATCATTAAGACTTGTAGTCAAAGAATTTAGAATTATAAAGCCGTGAAAAATCATAGGTAGAAATTATTCTGTTGACCTCTAAATGTACACCGACCTAATTTTTTATTAATGCTCTACAGATGGTAGATAATTGGGTTTCATTAGTTTTAAAAAAAAGACCTTTTTTAAAAATTTGTTACTGGAGACTGAAACTGTGACCTCTACAATGAGCAACATTTCTCTCCTGGCCCCTTTACCATTTTGAGACATGGTCTACTTAAGCTGTCCAAGGTAGGCTTGAATTTGCAATCCTCCTGCCTCAGCCTCCCAGAGTGCTGGAATTACAGGTGTTCACCACTTTTGAATGTATGGCATCTCCTCATTTTTAGCCCTGCTAATCCATATATAGAGCAGAGTGAAAATAGCATATGATTTTGTCACATAAGTAAGAATGTGATTCTACAGGGAAGGTAAGTGTTAATTTTATTTCATAGAAAGAAACCCATAGCAAGAGTACATAAATTCTTTGTAATGTAAGGAAACGCTCTTTCTTGTACAATTGAATTTACTGTTGGAACAAACAAGAACACAATAAATTAAGACCTAGGTAGTAATATATGCTGCTGTTAAAAAAACAAAACAAAACTGTGAGGACGGTTCTTCATATTTTATAATATTGATGAAATGTAAGACTTCGTTTTCGAGTGAGTTTGTAATAGAGGCCAAAATTTATTGTTTGCCATATTTTAGCATTATACTGGGAACTTTATACACATTGTCTTATTATTGCACACCTCTCTGACATGATCATTTAATAGTAGAACTAATGATAAAAGTATTAATTTTCATAGTATTTAATTGTTAGCTGAAAACAAAATTGAAATATACTCTTAAAAGTCTCGTGCTAAATATCTTTGAGGTTATTTCAGAACTAAAGTAATTGTTTTGTGTTTTTAAGTACCCACCCATTTTATTTTATTCATTTTTTTGGATACTGGGAATCAAACTCAGGACCTTGAAACCCATTTTAATTAGTACATTCATTTACCTAAATTTCATTAGGGTAGACAAGAGTATAAACATCTTTATTACAGAAATGGGGAAGAACAATAGAAAACATGCAAATAGCTTAGTTTATCATGCTTGGCATGTATGTTATACAATTTTCCACTGTTGATAACTTTTAAGGGCCATTTATTGAAGGATGAGAAAGAGAAGTGATAGAAGTGGTAACTAGAGGAAGAAACAGATATTCTGAGCTTTTTGAGTTTTTTCTACAGTTAGGAGAATGTACAGAAGATACACCAAATAAAAAGAACCAGTATGTGGCTGGGAATTGAGCTCAGTGGCAGTGGCACCTACCTGCTTTGCAAGCATGAGGTCATGAGTTTGATCCCTGATACCAAAAAAAAAAAAAAAAAAAAAAAAGGAAGAACTACTGTATAAAATAGATTATGTTTGACTAAGGCAAATTAAAACTAGTATATAAGCTTTGGGTTTTGTGAAAGACTCTTGTTATTTTACATTTGTCCAATTCTTTTGGTAGTTTTCTTTCACACTTGGCATAGTTACAATATTTTGAGACTTGAAACGTAATCTACAAATAGTTCACACCAATCTCATTTGGCAGTGAGGGAATAGTGAGTAATTAACAAGGTCTGTGAACCATAGCTTTTGATTGCATGCTTATGCTCTTTTTGTAGTACTGTAAGTCTTCCTTTTCTTAAAATTAAACGTGTGTGTGTGTGTGTGTGTGTGTGTGTGTGTATAATTCTATTTGGAAATGAAGCACAGATAAATAAATTGGTGCAGAAGATTACCTTGTAAATTATTCCCAATTTGTATTCTTGCTTGGTGTATATGTTTGAGGTCATGAGCAAAAGGATAAATATTAGGAATTTGCTGATTTTATGCTTATGGGTTGTATGTTTGATACCTGATTAAATGATTGGCAGTAAATGTTTGCTTAGAAATTAGTCATATTTGGTTTATATATTTTTTTATTTAGATCTACTTTTTTGTTGCTGAAGTAATGTAAATACTGAAATCACATTTTTTCTTTCTTCATTTTGCAGTAGTATTATTGATTCCACAGAGTACAGCCAACCTCCAGGTTTCAGTGGCAGTTCTCAGGTAAATGATTCATTTAACAGTATCTTTTAGTGGTAGTAGCAAAGGTATAATCACTTAAATTGTAAAATCATAGATTTGTTTCCTGAAATGACCTATCATCAAGACATGCCATTTCAAATGCTGTGGGGTTAATTAGGACCTAAAAAGCTCTGATGCATAATGGCAAAATTAGCTCTTCATTCACTTGTCAGTGATAAGAGAGTTTTAAAATAATATTTTTAACTTAGTGATAATATTGGATTCAAGAAGAGCAGAAGTTACTTTTAGGCAAAAACTGTAAAATCAGATCACTGTCTTAAGAGATAAGAAAATTATAAACTATTGTTTACCCATCATTATATTGAAACTTTTAACTTTGCTGTGGTGTGGGCACCTCAGGCTTCAGTAGAATAGACACTAGTCTCACCTCTTCTAGTTGTTAGGATTGTTTTGACTTTTTCTCTCTTTAGTTTTGATGTGGGGTGCTGATTTGTCCAACTCAATTTCTGAGGCTCGATGACATCTTTTATCTTTTAGAGAAAAGTAGCAAGAATACTAAAAACAGTTCCTTCATATCCTTCTTTGTATACACTGTTGAAACAGTAATATTTTGTCTTATTCTCTGATACCTCTTTTAGAATATATATGTAATTTTTTCCCTGGATTGCTTCAGTTAGGTACAGATACACATTCCTTTACTCTTAAATATACCAGTGTATATTTCCTTAAAAACAAGGATATTCTCTTACATAATCACAATATAATTTTAAAATTGAAAAAATTAACATCTTTACAGTGTTATTTTCTTATCTCTAGATACTCAAGTTTTACAAATTGTCCAATACAGTATTGTCCTTTGTGAAAGGAGAAAAAAAGCATTATTAATGCACATTCATCTCTATATTCAGTTTGTGAAAAAATAATCAGTTATTTTTATTAAGGTGAAAAGTAAGCTTTGTATTACAGCTTTTTTTCTTTTTTTCCCCAAAACTTGGATTAGTACTTCTGTTACTTTCTGTTACTATATATCCTCTGTTATCTTCGTATACCTGATTGCATTTAGCCTTTTTTTTTTTTTTTTTTTTTTTGGCACCGGGGATTGAACTCGGGTCCTTGGCGCTTGCAAGGCAGGCCACCGAACCGCTGAGCTAAATCCCCGGTCCAAGCCTATTTTTTAATACTAAGTTCATAGATAGGTTTGTATCACTTTCTAGCTATTAAACATTAGATGCAGGTATTTTTAATAAAATATATTGGAATATATCCGAAGAAATTTTAAATCCTTAAATTGAAATATACTGTAAGAGCTTTAGAGAGAAAAAGCATTCCCTGAATGGCTTGGTATTCATAGGTAGGCTTTGATATACTCCTTTTAAAAATAATTCTACAGAATATCACTATCAGACAAGTCTGTTCTGTGACTTGAAAGGTGAAACAGAAACCTAGATTACAATGTAAACTTATTTAAGGACATAAAAAACCAAGATCAGTTTACATAGCGCGTGTGCACACACAAACACACACACACATAGCAAAACAGCACAACCCAGTCTTGGGTGATTGTTGCAGCTTTACCATTTATAACTTCAGCCCAGTAGTCTGGTCCTCCTAAGTAAGATATATTGTGATTATCCTAGAATTAGTCCCACATACCAATGTCCAGTCTAGAACAAAGCCTTGCTTCCTTGAACATGCCTTCAAATCAAATAATGTGAGTCTGAATCCTTTAAGGCATTTCTGAAATCCTCTTGCTCATACTTCTTGCTTACCCATAGTATGCTGACTTATTTGTAATAAGCAATAAATAAAACTTAGACGTCTAACTATGGATGTGTTCTTGTTGGTCTTTGGCTGGAGAGCATTTGAAGACTCTAGATTAGAGGAACAAGAAAAGATTTTCACTGTTACATTATAGATAATCCCCTAAGCTAGAAAAAAGTGGAAAATTGAAAGTGCTGGGAAAAAAGAAAAACAGTAAAAATAACAGACTATTTCCAACTTAGGATGATTGTACTTGCCATTTTTTTTAATTTTGACAGTGACGAGAAAGTAACATGTATATTGTAGAATGCTGATCTTTTCCTCGGCTGGCCATGTGGAAAGACACTAAGTTGTTTTTGTTTGTTTGTTTGTTTGTTTGTTTTTTAAGACTTTTGGATAAAAAGGAAATGAGTGCCTAAGCCATCTGAATACAGTGGACGTTTGACTTATGAATTCAGTTAGTTCCTGAGGGCTGGTTGGTCAGTGAAGGCTCAGGCTCCTCTACACAGCGTTCAAAGTCTTCCTCATCCTGTACACAGGCAGATCTCAGTGTCCTTAGAGAGACATTGGCCGAGGACTTCTCAAACCCACAAAAGAGAGGATGTTGTAATGTTCCTTCCAGAACTCTTTGAGGGTTAAATCTGTATCTGAGACCATCTGGAAGCACAAGCAGCCAGCATTTGGGTCGTACCCCAAGTCTTTGGTCTTAAGTTAAAACTAAAGTTCCAGTCATAACCCACGTTATTTTTATGTTTGGCTGGTCATAACTTGAGGGTCCACTGTATCTGGTTTCAAGTTCTAGGCAGAGTAGTAGGACCAGGCCTGACAGTCCAGTAAACCAATGGGGGGTTAATTGTATTTAGCTTTCTTAGTCCATTATAAGGACTTTGGGTTGTTTTGTGTTTTGTCAAATGAGTTAAGGTTACTTTAAAAAAGTACTTGTCTTTTTATTTTTCATCAAAGGACAACAAATTTAATGAGTCCATACATAAGTTGAAATTAGATGTTATACAAACTAGTTTAAACTAAGACAGTACAAGTACATACTAATAAAAATAGCAATTTCTAATGTGTAATTTTCAAAATATAAGATATTAAAATAGATTAAGAGAATTGTAGCACAGTTTGGATAGACAAATAATTGCACTTATTAATGAGTTTCTGAAGAAAAACCCAACAGTAATTTTTAAGTGTGCAGAGAATGCTACCAACTGACTTTAACTTTCTTAAAGCAAAAATAAAGATCAAATAAGCAAAATAAGCAAAGCAAATAAACATAAAATAAGCATAATAAGCAAAAATAAGCATAACAAGAGCAAAATAAAAATTGAGATTCTGATCAAAGCAGGTTAGCCTGTGGTAAAGCTGGCTGTACAGCAGTAGGAGAGATTAAGTAATCATGTTGTGACAACTAGGAAATCATGTGATAGAAATTTAGCTTCTTGTTTAATCACTTGCTGAAAAGTTCATATCTGCTAAATGACTTAAATAGCAATAGAATTATGCAAATTTAAAAAGCCTTTATTATAATAGAATGTTACACGCAGTTTAAACCTAAATTAGAATGGTATCATGTTTGCTTGATAAATGCCTATTTTATAATACCTTTGATAACAATTTCATCTTTTTAATGAAAGCTGCAAATAGGGTAAAAAATTTGGTGAAGGACATGGGTAACAAGATGAAGATGCTCACATATGAAATAACATTCAATTTCCAAATAACAGGGCTGGGGATTTAGCTCAGTGGTTGTGGCACCTGCCTTGCAAGCGCAAGGACCCGAGTTCAATCCCCTGTGCTAAAAAAAAAAAAACCAAAACACAAAAACAATTTCCAAATAACAAAAACAATATATGAAGAATATAAGGTACCAAAGAAATTACCTAATACTTAGGCAGAAATCAAAGGGATGTTTCACAGTAATCATGCATTGCTTAAACATGAAGATGTGCTCTGAGAGTTGCATCTTTCAGTGATATCGTAATTCTGTTCACATAGAGTACTTCATGCACACCTGGATGTCACAGGTCAGTCACTCCACTTGGCCCCAGATGTTACACTGACACTACTACTAATATGTGAATGAGTTACTAGGCAGTAGAAATTTCTCTGCTGTATTGTAATCTTAGAAGTCTACTTGTTGCATATGCAGTCTGTTTTTTTGCAGTCTATTTTTTTGTGTTTTTAATATGTTGTCTGATAGCAGTGAAAATTTTATGTGACACATGACTGCTCTTATGACTATGTATGCCTACAAGCATGTGTGTATGCTTTGATTTGGTCATCAAATAGATTTATTATAAGGATTGATTTTAAGTACTACATAGAAAATATATACTAGTATTAATTATGTATACGAAAATTCTGAAGAAAATAAAAACATGTCCAGTCACAACAGAACAACTTTTATTAAAGTTATCCTATAATTATAGAATGGATTATTTTACTGCGCTTATAAATAATGTTTAATAGTTGGATTTTTAAAATGTTAACATATTAATTTTATATTGGTATTTTATACTTCTGAATTTCTGTAGTTGCCTATTGATTTTGCTTTAGCATTTTTATATAACCAAACAATTACCAAAATTAGAAAATTAACATTGATATACTATTATCTGAGAATTTTATATTTTTCAGTGGTTTTCTTACTAATGTCCTTTATTTTTAAAAAAGGAAAAAAAAATCAGTGGTTCAGTAACAGTTCAGAATTGCTTGTTATGTTTATTTGTCCTGCGTCTTCATGTTAACTGAACTGGTATAAAATTCTTTGATTTTTCATGACATTGACACTTTGGGAGAATGTAAGTTACTTGTTAGGCTGTCTCTTTATGGTATGTTTTAATGTCTTAGAAGGTTACAATGTCTCAGTAGTAGCTTTTTCAGTGTTTTGCAGAGTATTCCTTCTATTTGTTTTTTCCTTCGAACTTTAGTGTCTCCTTTTCTATTCCCATTTTTAAAATCCTTTAATATTTTTAACAGAACTGCTTTTAACTTAAAAATTACCTTATGGAGAATTGATGTATTTATGATAATTGAGTTGAATCTATATTTTTCTTATTTGTTCATATTTTTCAGGGTTTTTTATGTACTTTAAAAATATGAGTTGAATAAATTTTAGCTGGATTGTGCTCACTTCGGCAGCACATGTACTAAAATTTTACCTGGATATCATGATTCATGCCTGTAATGCCACCACTCAAGAAGTGGAGGCAAGAGGATCTCTGCAGTTTTAAGGCCAACCTGGAATGTGCAGTGAG